AAATTACAATGTGTGAATAAAATTGGGATTGGCTTTGACAGCACAGCGCCAGAGCGGCTCATAAGAGCCTGGCGACGACGACTGCAGTACTGACAAGCCCACAACAAAAAAGTCACTGACTTACAAAATTTAAAAGAAGGGGAAAAAGGAAAAAAAAAACAAAACCCGCACAGATAGGCTGCAAAAGAAAAAGCAAAGAAAAAAGAAAACGGAAAGGGGAAGAAAATAAACAAAAGAAGGCCTGTTACTAGATCACGGTCTGTGTGTTGACCTTTAGGCGCGTTTTCTAGACGAGGCTAATGGGGTGCCACGTCCTGGCCCCAGCGTCCATCGTTTGTCTTCCCTTGGGACCTCCTTGCTCTGCTTCCCTGCAGCTCCATTGCACACCCCCGGTGTTTTGCCTCAGTGTGGTGGGGTCAGCTCAGTCGCCCAATCCACACTGTGTCTCCGGTGCTGTCCCATGCAGGGCCGTGTGTCAGCGCTGGATGCCGCATCTCGTCATGGGGGCAGCCACACAGTCCTTTCTGTACACTGGGCCCTCCGAGCTGGGCCATCGTCCTCTGAGTTTGGTGGGCCCAGTTGTGCTCTGCTCCTATCCTCCTCCTTCCTTTGTCCCTGCTTCCCTCTGGGTGTGGTGTGGTAGGTCAGCTCCCCTCCCTCACTGGACGATCTACTTTCATCCTCTGTGGTGCTCCCTTCCATGGTGGGGGTCGGGCCATATCTGGCTAGGACCGGCGCCTGGTCCATTCTCTCCGTGTATTCCTCCTCGTTTTACATTGCTCCTCTGATTTGGTGTGTCCTGATGGGGGCTGTATGCCCGTTCCAGTTCTGTGGAGACATAACCAACACTCTCCCCCCTGCCCCCCGCCCCGTGGGCCAGTGCCCTGTTCCCTCTGTGCCACCCACTCAGTCTCTCCCCACCGTTTCTCCCTCCACCCATGCCCCCTCCCCCTCTTCACGTCCGACTCTCATGTACCTCCCCAGACGTTTTATGTCAAGAAAATGTGCATCACAAAAACATCCCAACCCAATGCTGCCCAAGCCGACAAGTCCAACATTAACCCATTAACCCAACACCAGTCCACAAAGTCCTCCACCTCACGAAGCAGAGGCAATGACGCCGACTGCAGGAGGAAAGCTGAGTCCGTGAACGTGTAAGCATCTCAGCACTAGCAGGGGTCTCCACACGGCTGCTCCAGCACCCAGGGCTGCATCGGGATAGGTCCATGTGGCTTCTCCTTGGGGATGTCTTGTAGGAAGTCAATCTTGCAAGCTGAAGCAGGGAACTGCTAAGGCAGCTGCACCCTGGTGCAACCATCACAAAGCAAGAGACCCGAGAGCTAGAAAGGCGAGGCTTACCACCCATTTATCCCTCCGCCTTTCAATTAGCCCCACATGTGATTATCGGCCAGGCTGGCACAATTAACTAATTCACCATCTTTTGTCTGCCTAGGGTGTACCTAGGAAGGAAAGCTTGGTGATATATTTCCAAGAAGTTGACCATGTAAAACCCTATGGAATGCCATGGGTCTGACACACATAGAGTCACCATGAGTTGGAACTAACCTGCAAGCAACTAATTACTGTATACCAGTATTTGATTTTTTTAAAAAGTAATATTGTATTATTTATATATAAATACTGACATCAAAAGAAGGAATGAGGAATTACTTCCTGAAGAATGAAAATGGCAAAAAGATGAGGAGGAAAAAGTCATTGAGACTATTAAGGAGGCATTGTTTAGAGATTGAGATAGTTAAAGGTTATTGTGCCAGCCTGGCCAATAAACACATGTTGGGTTAATTGAAAGGCGGGAAGATAAATGGCTTGGTATGCCTCGCCTTTCTAGTTCTTGGGTCTCTTGCTTTCTGATGGTCGAACCAGGGTGCAGCTGCCTTAGCCAGTTCCTGCTTCAGCTGGCAAGGCTCACTTCTGCAAGACATCCCTGAGGAGAAGCCACAGGGACCTGCCCTGATACAGCCCTGGGTGCTAGAGCAGCCCTGTGGAGGCTCCTGGCAGTGTTGAGATGCTTACACGTTCACCGATTTGGCTTTTCTCTTGGAGTTAGCATCATTGCGTGTGTTTTGTGAGATGGAGGAGAACTTTGTGGATTAGTGTCGGACATATGGGCTAATGTTAGACTTCTCAGCTTAGGCAGCACTGGGTTGGAATGTTTTCTTGATGTGCACTTACCCTTTATATAAAACTCCCTCCTATACATATGAGTTTCTGTGGATTTCTTTTTCTAATGTACCCAGACTAACACAGAGAGGATTCCAAAACCTTCAAGATAAGATAGGACCCACAGTCTAGTGTGTCCAGGGCTCAGTGCCTAGCACTTAGACGAGTAGCTATATACTTCTCTGAATGCCTAACTCATTCTGAGCATCTCTCTGTTCTACAGGTAACTCGGGACCAGATGAAGAAGTTCATACAGCAGGAATTTAAGAAAGTTCAGAAGGTGATTGCTGATGAAGAACAGAAGGCCCTTCATCTAGTGGACATCCAGGAAGCAATGGCCACAGCTCATGTGACTGAGATATTGGCAGACATCCAGTCCCACATGGACAGGTTGATGACTCAGATGGCCCAAGCCAAGGAACAACTTGATACCTCTAATGAATCAGCTGAGCCAAAGGCAGAGGTAATGGAGAATGTGCACTCTTCGTAGTCGCAGGAGAACCAAGAAAATACGGACTGCCGTATTTGTTAGCACTGGAAATGCCCCCTTGTGGTCCCCGAAAATGAAAGCTTTCACAGAGCATAGATGTTTGCAGTGGTGTGTAAATCGGTGCAGAAGTGTTGGCCACTAAGTCCCACCCCCTGATTTTTATCAACCATTATCTGAAGAATACAGTCAATGGACAGATTCTAACCACTTTTAAGAAGGAAGCTAGAAATCAGAGCCAGAGATGGCAATTTACAAGTGCAAGGTGTGGAATGAATCTATAACTAAAGTCATCATCTGAAGGGCTGAAGGAGCCTAGGTCAGGAAGTAGAGCATGAAGGAGCCCAAAATGGAAGGTAATGGTCATTCAAGCTGGTTTTTATTGGAAACCAACTGTATAAACTGGGGACACAATTGCTAGACATAGAGAGAGGTGCGGATGGCAGGGTATGTGAAGATGCAAGAAGGCCAGTGTGGATGAAGAAAGGTAAATATTGAATCACTTGTATAAATATTAGTCACCGTATTGAGAGTCTTGGTGACACAGTGGAGTAAGTGTTAGGCTGCTAACTGAAGGTTGTGATTCAAAACCACCGGCGTCCCTGTGGGAGAAAGATACGGCAGACTGCTTCCAGAAAGGTTCCTATGGAGCAGTTCGACTCTGCCCTCTTGGGTCACTCTGAATTAGAATCAGCTTGATGGCAGGGGTTTAGGTATTCACTCTTGTTTTCTAGCAGGAATAACAGGGTCTTAGGGTTCCCAAGCATCATATTCAAGAACCTACTTCTAAAAACATAATTTAAGGCAGATATTTTAAAGAGCTACTAAACAAGTATATAGTTCAGCCACTGAGGAGATCTTTATCAGCACTGTATTGGAAGTTCAGGCCCAGTTTATGCCAGATAGATGTAGAAAACCAAAGAGAGATTACTCAGTGATCGCACCTCCAACTAGTTGTCCTGCCTTGGCCCAGGAGAGCTGGTTAGAGAACAAACCAGCTAATGGATGTGACCAAGTGGAATCCAGGAGGTAGGTATTGTCCAAGCCCTCCTGACAGGAAATGTAAAAGCCTGCTGTATCCATCCTGATTTCTTGGTTGCATTCCATCATTGTGTGAGAAGAATCGCTCTTGTTCTTCTCATTCATCCTTCCTGGAAGGAAGAACCTGTACCTATGTAAGCGTCTAGGTAGAGAACAGAGAATGCTATGTTCATCGTATCATTTAATCCCGACATTAGCACTTGGTTTTCTCTGTTACACATGGACTATTGAGTGCAGAGACGCTGACCAGTGTCCCAGTTGTATCTGTGAGAAGAATTAGGAGAATCAGTGTCCTTGACTGCTTTGCATTCCTAAGACCCTTTACAGCAGCGGGGCTCAACCCTTGGGGGTCAAATGACCCTTTCACAGGGGTCACCTAAGATAAGGTGACCAGACGTCCCGCTTTTGAACAGTTTTTCCCATGTCCCTCAGTGTTTTAAAAAAGTCCCGATTTTTGGAAAGAATGCACGACAAGCTAGGGTATACGGTTTTCGGCTGCCATGTGGCTATTTCTCCAGGATATGAGTTTTATCAATGGTGTCCCGCTTTACCAATGTTAAAATCTGGTCACCTTAACCTAAGATCATATTTCCGATGGTCTTAAGAACCAAGACACCGCTCCTCTATCCATCTCCAGGCGGGTCCGCCCACATGCAGATACGCCCACATACGGGGGTCACTACAACATGAGGAACTGTATTAAAGGGTCACAGCATTAGGAAGGTTGAGAACCACTGCTTTACTGTGTTGTAAAAACTTTGTCTTAATAAACAAAAAGTTCAGCCAGACTCAACTCAAGGAATTCTTGGCATAATTTTGTCTTCAGCTCCTCTTAAATCTGACCCTTCATATTTAATCTGTGTGTTGGTTAGGTTCTTTCAAAAATAAAGATTTAATTTGAGCTGTATCTACCTCTCTTGTTTTCATTTCCAACAGCATGTTTAGTTCCTCCTCAGCGTTAGCCATCCTGTAAGCACCTGATCGGCACTGTGCTTGTTAACTCTGATGGAATTACTCTTAAGGTTGCAAGAGCTGACAGGCCTAAGGACCAAGCTGAGAACAAAATAAGCTATTTAAAAAAGAAATCGCATTCAGCTGGCTAGAGCTCTTACAGAGAGCTGTTATCATCTTAATAGTCTCTTGTTCCAGCTAATCTGGTAACTTATTGGTCAGAGCAAATTTCTAATTTGTCTCTGGCACTTTCAGAGGAATTCAGTAGAGATGAGAGATGTTATGGTTCTGAATTCCATTCTTCTAACAGAGTCATATATATATTCCTCTTTTCTTCCCTTTATCAACTATGGGATTTTAAAAAATAATTTGCATTTTTAATTTGGCCAGAAGATACCCCTCCAACATTGTATTATGAAAAATGTCCAACATCTAGCAAAATTGAAGGTATTGTACAGATTGTACCTCTATCTCCACCACCTAGATTCTACCACTGACTTTTCTTGCACTTGCTTCATTGCAAAGCCTGCAATCTTTCCAACCTTTTATTCATCAGTTCATCTCATTTTTCAGTGCATTTCAAAGGAAATGGCATCTTGTGGTTGTGATCCTCTTGTTTATGATAATTTTTAGAACCCTGGACAGAATACATTACTTCACCTACCAGAAGACCCTCAGAGGTGTAGAAGAGCTGGCGGGCTGGCCGGGTCTTGGCGGTGGGATTTGGGGTACCGCACAGCAGTGAGTTCACTGGAGTCTTCTTACTTCCTGCGAGTACTCAAGAAGCATTCAAACCAGAAACACGAGGACCCAACTGTACAACATGTGTAAGCCCCCAATAAAGCTCCTCTCACTAGACCAAGTTCGGGGGAAAGGGTAATCTAGCTGGGGCAAAAACCACAGCAACATCCCCTTATCTACGCCACCCGGAACAACAACAGTGGAATCAAGTGGTGAAAACCTTTTTTGCACCCTCTTCTGCAGCAACGAGGTGCCTTTTCCACACAGGGCCTAAATGTGAAATTCTGACTTTTGCCCCACCTTCCCCACCCCACTACAGTGATGAGTGTTGCCCCACTCTCTTGGAGTAGGCTGGCAGAGCCCTGACTTCCACCCCACCCTTTAGCCACCAAGCCAAACTCATTGGCATTAAGTCAGAGCTGACTCATAGCAATCCCTGTTTCTGAGACTGTAGCTGTTTATGGGAGTACAGAGCCCAGTCTTTCTCCTAAGAAGCTGTTGGTGGTTTCAAACTGCTGAACGTTCGGATTATAGCCCAGCTCATAACCACTACACCATCCAGGCTCCTTGTAGGAGCAGTAAGGAAATAATAGTACCCCTCCCCTCCCCTCCCCTTCAAAGACTGTGGCTGGAACTCCCTAATTCTTGCCCTGTATCCTTTGCTGTATTAACAAGGTGATCCTCCCTGGCTGAGCCAATGGGTGGAATCTTGTCTCCCACCCTGTGCTGTAGTAATTTGTCACTATTCCGCCTTATCTCCAGCTAGACTGGGCTCTTGCCTCTGAGTAACACAGCCAGCATAGGGCAGGCGAGACTAGCACTGCGAAGTCTATATCAACTCCATGGTCATCTGAGCTTCAGTCCTCAAACGTGATCCAGGACGTGAATTCTCAACCTCAGCTGGGTGGATGACTGACTACCTGCTAAAACAGAAGATTAAAGGGGAACCAGGTTTTTGTAATGTACTCAAAATGTCTAGCAAGCCCAAAGTTACTCTTCAGTACCTGAATGATATAGCTTTCTTAATCATTATATAGCAGTGGTTCTCAATCTTCCTAATGCCACGGCCCTTTAATACAGTGCCTCATGTTGTGGTGACCCCCAACCATAAAATTATTTTCATTGCTATTTCATAACTATAATCTTGGTACTGTTATGAATCATAATGTAAATATCTGATATGCAGAATGTATTTTCATTGCTACAAATTGAACATCATTAACCATAATTAAAGCATAGTGATTAATCACAAAACAATAGGTAATTATATATTGTGAAATAGTTATGTGTTTTTTGATGGTCATAGGCAACCTCCGTGAAAGGGTCATTCGACCCCCAAAGGGACCGAGACCCACAGGTTAAGAACCGCTGTTATAGAGTGTTCCAGAAGTGTAGGCACAGAATGTAAAATGAGCGTGCGCGCGCGCGCGCACACACACACACACACAAAACCTGATATTTTGTTTTGTTTTTTTTCTTCAAATCAGATTTAAAATTTTCTTCAAACTACCAGAAATTGCTCATAGACATAAGTTTTGAATCATTTAACTTTTAACTCATTGTTGCATTCTAGGTTATTTCCAACTTGTCATTTATAATATGGTAGTGAATATTTTTAATAGTTGGATCATTTTGTAAATATTTTTAGTCTCGTGTTCTTGGGGATGATTACTGGGTCACAGGTATGGACATAACTTTTTGGCTCTTACACGTGTTTGCAAACTCCAAAGTCAAACTCACTGTCATCGAGTTGACCCTGGCTCCTAGCCACCCGATAGGACAGGGTAGAGCTACACCTGTGGGACTGTAACACTCTACAGGAATAGAAAGCCCCATCTTTCTCCTGCACTCAGCAGCTTGTGGTTTCAAACTTCCAACCTTGCAGTTAGCCCAACAAATAACCACTACACCTCAAGTCTTCTGTTTACAGATTATCCATTAAAAAAATTTAAAAAATCCCAAACCCACTGCCATTGATCACATTCCAACTCTGTGATCCTATGTGGGGCTTCCAAGGCTGAACATCTTGACCCCGATGAAGAGACTGATAGGGGTCCTTACGATGAGTGCTCAAAGAATGCATGTAACCTCAACTTTCTCCCTCAGAACGTTGGTGTGTTTGAACCACCAACCCTGTGCTTAGAAGTCCAGTGCTTGCATGATCACACCACAAGTGCTCCTTGCGCCATTGCACTGTTATATCAGTATATCATCACCAATTTTGAACATGATTATCTTTTTAA